CGAGCCGGCGCGGAGGGGAGAACGGCGGCGGCGGTGCCTGACAGACGTCACGGGCGGTGCGCTGCAGGCGCCGCCATCGCCGCTGGGGGTTCCGCCTTGCTAACTGACGCGCGAACGCGTTGGTCGCTCGCGGGAAGCGCTGATTGAAAGGTCAAGCGTATCTATAAATCTTTACTTCTGTTGGTTTTACGAGATTTCCATTTCTGCGTGCTATTCCATTTTTTTCTTTCATTTCTAATTTTTTTTTCTTCTTATCTGTCTAGTACTGTCTACTTCATGTAAAAATCTTCTGCAAATATCGAACTATCTTACCATAATCTTTACGAAATGGACACTTGCAATTATAGTACACAACTCATATATCTCTCAAATTTTGTAACTGTGGATGTCGGATTAAACTTTGTCTCGAGACGTATATCGCGTATTCGCATGAGAAAATTGAGTGTTTCGAACTTTGGCATTTTTTCTTAAGAATACGGTTAATTTTCATTAGTCATTCCATTTTTCTCGTAGTGCGGTTTCTGTATGCAAGTTACAGGGTAGACCTTTTCGAATTTAGTCTGATACGGAACAACATGCGCCTGATTTGTATGTCAGACAATCCTTTGTGTAATTATTAACTTTCAATACAATTTCATTGTATTAAAAATATATGTAATTTCAAAATATTCTAATGTGCTTAACTCGTTTAACATTGTGAGGGCAAGTTGACCACACATACGGAAATGTCTTGGTTTATAACGATTTTGAATATCAACATGCTGGTGGGAAACGATCTTTCGTTTACGCAGCTATTCCCAAATTGTGTAGATCGTGGAAACCATGGGAAAGGAATTCCTCCTCGCGAATTTGCAGCTCTGTACTTGTTTTCTTTTAACACAATGAATACGTGACTGGAAACAGTCCATCTCGATGTGGCTATAACTTTATGTGCTATCCAGTAGAACACGAGTTGTACGTCCAAGGAAGATAATTTACAGCTCTCTGGCGGCTTCTTGTTAAAGAAGTTACAGGTTTCAAAAGGTGTAGTGAGATTTTACATTCCAAACGTCATTTTGTGCGAGTGATTTTCTTTAAAAATTATTTTTCAGCGCGATAGTTTAGTCGCTCCCAGGGTATTCGTGGGAAGGCGTACGATTCCACGGGTCGCAGTTTGGGAATCGCGGGCCCCGCACATCCCACCCACCCCCTACCCCCACACACACAGCGCCATTGACGTCACGGCGCGCCGTCCGTCGACGGCTGAGCCCCGGCGCAAACACGCTCGCGGCGCGATTACGGCCGAAATCACGGCCGCTGGGCCGATTCTTTCCCGCTCTGCTAATGGCTCGTTTAAGCGCGCCGCGCCGTACCCACCCGTCCGCTCCCGCGCTCGCGCCGTGTCCAAACAGGCGCGCAAAGAAATGGCGAGAATTAATTATGATCAATCCAATGCACATCGCGTCAAATTGGATCTCGGGCGGGCGGGATGTTTTACTCCTTAATCGTCCTCAACGGCCCGGCCCCCGCTGATGCATGACTTTGTGTGTTTGTTGGTGTATTTGCTGTGGGTGGATGCTGGATGGAATTGCCGAATCCGATTAATGAATGTCAGTGTTAGAAATCCTTGGGCATCATGTTGGTGCGGTTTCTCAAAAAAGGATCGTAGTTGTGGAAACAAATATTGGAGTATTTGCTGTATTCTTTCTGACTGCTGGTATGAACTTGTAGAAAATATTGAAGATTGTTTGTTCGTGTGAAGTAATTTCCGAATATTTTAAGTAATGGGGGAGTCGAAGCTTGTTTGCAAGTCATAAATATGTACAGACCTCAAGCCTAATGGACATAATATTCAAATTTTGAACGTGGTAGAACAAGTGAAGCGAACCATTGTAAAGGATGTTAAAGAAGTAGTAGGTTGTAGATGAAACAAACGTATAGCAAAGTGATGTAATTGATAGATATTTAATTTTGTAAGTGTCTTGAAAATGGCGCTTTATTAACTCTAATTTAGATGAATTAGAAAGAATTGCAATTGAGAATTATCTGGGTTAAAAGTATACCATTTTCTGTTTCCATCTTCATAATGTTTGTTCATAGAATTACATTTATCATATTCTTATTAAAACACTCCTCAAAACTTTGAATTTAGTCACAACCTCTTCGTAGTCTTTCCTGGAGATGTCCATACTCAAAAATGTTGGGAAACTACGGTGCGAGTCATAGTGAGTAGAAATCAAAAAGATGTCGGTTGTTTTCCGCGATCATTTGAACATGAAAACTTTTACTTTGGCAAGCTTCCCAAATAAACACGCCCAGTGAATCTGAAAGCAGTGAGATTTTCGGCGTGTCTCATCACTCGTGGCAAAATGTCGAAGTTTATTTCAACCGACACTGGTTATGTGTGCGAACATTATAACATTGAATGTGGTAGCGTGCCCACAGCGGGGGAGGGAGGGAAGGAGGAAACGGTGGTGCAGCCGATGCAGTGGCTGCGACACAAATTGCGCCTTCGCTGCCGCGGCGGGCGGGCGGCCGCAGCCCCAGCCCCCGGGACCCGGGACCCGGAGCGCGCTGCCAGGACGCTCGGCGCTTTTTGCGACGGGGCGCGGACGGCGAAAATATGCGCCGGCGATCTGCGGAAACGCGCGCTAATTTTCTTTTGAGCGGTTTCATTAAACAACCGCTGCAAAGGTGATAATTTTTCTGGGGACATAACTTGCAAAAATGGTGGTCGGGAACGGGGACAGCGGAACGGAGCGAGGGGGTTGGGGGTGGGAGTGGAAAGATACCGCGGATCGCCGCGATGGCTTCTCTGGCGAGTCTAGAATTACGCAGCGGCCAGGATAATTCCAAAGTTTTGGACACTGTGACCTAATAACTACTCGGTTCCATTCCTCATCGCTGCGATGTAAGAAATTTATTTAAAACCGAGCCCCGAGTAATCTCGGGCGTCACTTCCGCTCGAGAATTACGTTTTATGGCCCGGAGAACAATTGCGAAAGTTTTGATATTGATATCTCTACTTAGTGAAATCCGGCAACGAAGCCGGGGGGGATGTTGGTAATAATTTTC